GTTTTAATACACAAATAATTTACACTTACAATTAGCAGCATATATATATATATTTTTTTTTAATATATTTTCCTTTGCATTAATATTTTTAAGTGTAGTTTATAGCGTTGATTAAGTGGGACTTAAAAACAGTTTACAGTTTACAACAATGCACATTGATTTTCATTAAAGTTTTATATATAGATGCACTTAAATCTGATTGCACACACTCACACTCACACACACACACATACAGTCAGTCATACACTCTCCCACTCACACTCATATCGTCTACTTAATTAGCATTTAAATGTCTGCACATTGATATTTAATTTATGCATAAATTTATTCGCTTAGTATTTAAAATGTTTGCATTCATTTTATGGTTTTGCTCTTTTTTTCCTCGTTTTGACATCTTAATACTAATTTAGTTAGGATTTTAATTCAAGTATTTACACATAACATTTATAAATATATATATATACATATAAATGTGTATATATATTGTTTTTGTATTTAATGACAATTAAATTTCAAATTAAAATTGCTATTGCAATCGGAAATCAAATTTTTCGTATTATATAGAAAGAGAGAAATGGACAAAGCATTTGATATGGCGCTGCTCTCGGGGCTATTTACATAAATGAATAATTGTGTTTTGAATGTTGAATGCATTTTGACTCTTCATTAAGGCTTAATCACAATCATTTCTCTATTGTTTTCTGTTTTTTTTTTTTTTGTTTTTTTTTTTCATACTTTTGTTGATGACTTTCGCATTGTTGTCTCTAAAAATTTGGCTAACTAAAATGTTAACATTTACAAACATTTTTGGTTTTTCTTCTTCTTCTTTTTTGTCAATTTATAGCAAAATAACATGGAATGTTATTAGTATTAGTAGTTCTTGACTAAATAATAATATATGTATATATGTTTATATTTATAGGTACGTTGGCTGTACATACTAAAATACGGACAGAGAACAGATCGAACACTTAATGTTTAAATATATTTGGTTTTTTTTTTTTTTAAGTTTATTTCACTTATTTGTTTTCTTTTGCATATTTGTTAATTGAGTTCACATACATGCATATACACATACATTAAAAAATTTGGCAATTTATAAATTTACGATATGTTTTTGTTAGTTTTAAGACCTTTCGACAGTCACCAGCTTTTAAATGCTACATTTGATTAGATTCCATTTAAAAACTTTCTTTGCTTTCATTATTCTTTATTTGTTTTCTTCATTTTTTGTTTCTTTATGTGAGAAAGATTTGTGAAAATACAAAAATTTGATACGAGTGCATGGAAAATGAATTAAATATGTATATTTCGAAAATATTTAACAACATTCTGGAAAATGAAAAGTCACATAGCCTAAATAAACTTTCATCGAATGCATTCGCAAATTTACATTCAAAATTTCTTTTAAAATTCAATGTATTGTTATTACAATTTATGTGCTTATTTGGTTTTTCATGATTTTAGCTACAGAATGCTTAAAACTAATTTAGATTTAATTATATGTTTCTTAAATTTATGCATATATGCTTAAATATATATATATTTCGTTTTGCTTTTGTTTAAACTCGTTCTTTTTAGCAGAGCTCAACTCTGAGCGTTTTTATTTTGTTTTCATATTTTTGATGTGTTGTTTGCTTTTAATTTTAATTTTAAGTTTTGCCTTTGTTTATATTAATTATACTTTATTTTTTTCTTTTTTTCTGTTTTAATCTTTTTGTGTGGAATTACTTATAAATTAATAACATATAATACACACATTCATTATTAACTATATACAGTTTTATCAATAACTTTTGAATACGCTCAACAATTTTATTTTTTTTCCAGCTAAAAACAGGTTTTGTGGCTCTATTTAAAATATATAAATATACGTAGTTTATATTTTATTAAATTTAAATATTTTATGCATATAAATATGTTTTCTTTTATGTTTATACAAATTAAATTCAAGAAAGCTTTTGTTAACGACATAAATAAATAAGCAATTTTTTGCAGCTTTTTATTTTTGGTTTTCTTTTTTTTTCATTTTGTTTTTTTTTTTTTTAAAGATTTTTTTCATGCTTTTGATTTTCATTTTCTGCGAAGCGAAGACGGAAAATTCAGTGGAAAAAATGGGCGGGGCATAGGCAAGGCTAACTTAATGCAGCTACCGCGCAGTCAGCAGCAACTGCCGACGCTGCGCTGCTGAGAGAGAATCTTGAAGCGTTTGCTCAACATGAATGAATTGCGCTACGAGCTTATCATTGGGCTTATCATTGCCTTGCTCTGGCTCTGGCCTAACAACATTTATCGAAGCTCGATGCACGCGGACCCGCGGACCGAACCCAGCCTTGCTGTGCCTGAACGCCGGCCAGTTGGAGTGGAGGCTGCCGCCCGCTAAGGTGGCAGCCAGGGCCAGCGCCAGCAGCAGCAGAGCATTGGGCGCCCGGGCCATTAGGAGCGAGTCCGTATTGCTGGCTGCATTTGGTTGAAGAAAAAGCGATAAGATTTTGGTAACAAATATTTCCCGGTATGACATACCTTGCACCGGATCGGCGCGCGAGTTGCTGGCGAAGGCGCTGTCGCTCTCTCGCGACTCCAGGACCGGCGCCTTCTGCGGCCGATCGCCCTCCACGGACTCCTCGTTGCTGCGCCAGTAGAACGACGAGAGAGCAGCCACACACTGTGAAGTCGATGTTAACATCAGTCAATCAATCAATCAATCAAATCAAGTCTCAGCAATTCCACTCACCTTCAGCTTCATGTCGCCGTTGCGAAAATGATGTTGCTCCACGCGAAACTGCAGGCCCAGCACTGAGGTCTCCAGGCCCTCGCGGCCCGATACAATCGTCTCGAATTTGCGCAGCTTCTGGGGCTCGGCCGGCTCACCGTTCACATACCAGGTAAGATTGACGGCCGGCTTGGAGCGGCCGGCGGTGCAGTTGATGCGCACCCAGTCGCCGATTTGGTAACGCGGACGTCCTCCAATTATTTTCGGTGGTCCCTGATCGGGCAGAGCTGCAAGAGTAGAGGAAGCAACAGACGGAAGACTGGTTAGTTGTTGCCATGGCTAACGAAGTCAAGCTGTGCTGAATTTAATTTACGGCTAGTTACAGACAGCACAGCCAGCCCCTCCCACGCCCCTTGCCCAGAGCCTGCAAGCATTGCTCTGCCCAAACCTCGAAATACCATAATAAACCAAAGCCCAAGCCACCAGCAGCAGCAGCAGCAGCAACGGCAACAACAAAGTCGCCGGCGCCCATCCGGAAATTCAATAAAAGTTCCAGCCGCTGATGCACTGACAGACTGCTGATAAAATTGCACAAAAAAAAAAAGAAGCAAACTAAAGAAAACAAGCGAAATAAAAATAAAATTGAAATGAAGGCAAATCGTGACTTGATCGCATCGCATCTTTGAATACTCTAACCAGGCACGCAAAGTGCATTAGCTGAGCGAATTACATGTAATTTGACAGAGCTATGTTCTGTTAACAGTGCTGGAGTTCTTTATTGACAAATCAGTTAACAGTTGTGCTACTCTGCAATGATAACAGAGCCTAAGCGACTTTATTAACAGATATTGGCTTACTACTGCATCCTAACAGTTATTCTATGCTGAAATTTTAACAGAGCTCTTGTGTGTTCATTAACAGAGATGTGTGTATGTTTAAAAACATTGTTTAGTGTTGAATGAATAAAGAGGCGATTCGCTCTGTAATGTTAGCTTTGATTTGCCACTTTCAGGGCAGTATTTTTCGCTAATATACAAATATACATATGCAATGTTATCGATATTGTTAATTTTTTTACTGTTATGCTATTTTATAATATGTTAATATGACTCTAATATGTCAATCAAAATATAAATTAATTATTTAACTTCAGCTATGATAACATACCGATTGTTAGTATTATGAGTATTATGATCTTGCTAACTCTGTAATTTTTACAAAACTCTTATTTGTTATTCAACAAATGTTCATTTATATGTTAGCTAGCTCAAATATTTCAATCGAAATATCAATTGCCTAACTGGAGTTCAATTATGGAGTTCAATACTGCATATTAGTGCAATAAATAACTAAATTTCCGATTTTTGTAATCTTCCCTTAGCTCATATTTGTCTATTAATAAATTCTTTTAAAGTTACTTTATTATGCTATGTAGCCCTAATATGTTTATCAAAAGCTATTTACATAAAAATCTCTCACAGTAGCTCAACTTAAGAAAAATAGCAGAGACTCTGTTAATCAAGAGAGAGCTGCATATTAGAGCATCAATTTAACAGTTGCTTAATTTTGTTAGAAATTAATCTCTAACATGTAAGTTTAAGGTAATTAACATATAAATGTAAGAGTGAATTGCACACAGTTCTTTTAATCAACAGAGCTCTGTTACGCTAACATTGCCTTCATCTGTTAATCAGCAGCCATGCTCTGAAAACAGAGCACTTTAAAGTCATGGGATGTTAATATTGCCCAAATACTTCTGTTATTGAAAAATCAATTGATTTGAATTATCATTGAACAACCAATCACTACTGTTAAGTTAACATAACTCCCAACTGTTATCCAATATAGATTTGCATATCAAATAGATATTTATTGAACTTGACTTCTATTTTATATTTTTGCTTTTCTGTTTATTTTCATTATCTAAATAATATTTTATTATTTATCTGCTAACAATGTCAGTCCAGCCCAACAGCCTTTAAAGTTAACGTAAAACGGACTAGCAAAACAAATTGTCAAACTAATAAAAGCAATGCAGTTAGCCAGGCCAGCCATAGCATGAGCCCCGGCTCTGGCATGCTGATGCATCCTGACATGCTGTTGACTGTGCGTCATGACAAAGTTCTAATACCCGTTCGCTCTCGCGAAGACTATAAATCAGTGCTGAGCAGAACGATGCGAGCGGAAACGGAAATGGCTTTTTTGCCAGAAGGTCTAACGGCAGCTGTGGGCGCAGAGAGCTGTGAACTGCCAAAAACTGGACTCGGAGCTGTGGCATATGCGAGCCAGTTATTGCTGTTGTTGCATCTGCTGCTCTTGTAGTTGTTGTTGTTGTTGTTGTTGTTGAAGCTTTTAAAAAGTTTGATTGAAAGCCAAACAGGCAGCCTGCACAATATGAGCAACACAAGAGCCAAAACAAAAGCGCGTTAGAACAAAGACAAAACCAGCGCCAGATGAGAGAGGAATGGAAACACTAGGCCAGCTGGCAAGAGAGAGTGAGAGAGTGAGAGTGAGAGGGAGAGAGAGGGAGGGAGCCACAGCAGCTCTCCTCTGTCCACGCAAAAGTTTATAATTGAACAAACGAAATGTCAACGCCAGCTCAAAGCGTTCCGGTTTGCCTCGCCCACGTGTGACTCTCGTTGTCCGTGGCAATAAGCGTGATTTCCGGTCTGAGCCCCGAGCCCTGCAAGCATTTCACAAAATGTTGTTGCTCCTGCTCCTGCTCCTGCCTGCTGCTGCTGCTGTTGTTGTTATGCTGTTTGCATTTCGAGTTGGTCGCGACATCTTCGAAATTCTTGTTCCGCCTACGGCAAATTGCTGAGCAAGACAGACAGTTGCAAAATTGAGTTAGATGCTAAGCTTTGGCAGGTTGCCGACCAACAGCAGCAGCGGGGCATGGGCATGCCCATGTGGCATGCGGCTCGGGGCCACAACTGAGAGTTTTGTTAAGCTTATTATAAACACGAAATCAAATGAAGCCTGTCAAATGCAGTTCAACACTTGAGCAGATCAACAATTGAATTTGCCTTCGCCCAAATGAAGTGGACCAAATTGAATATGAAACACCAGCAGCAGCAGCAACAACAAAAACAACAACAAGAGCTCAGGCAGCTGGTCCAAGTTCTGTAATTTATAATTGCTTCGAGCGTGTTGCACAGATTAATGCCAACTATGCAATTAGCCGTAATTTAGAGTTGGCTGATTGACGCTTCACTTGAATTATTGCTTTAATTCTTGCAATTATTGTCAGCTAGTGTATAGGTAGGTTCCTCCTAAGTCTAAGAAGTTTATTTAATTCAGAGATGACAGTTCGAACTGTCCGCTGTCATAAGATATTTTATATGCCTTGAACACTTGCTAGAGGCTAGTTAACAGTTGATTATCTACTTTCAAAATCGAAAATAGCCTAATTAACAGTTCTCGTCGTAAACTCTCTTAAGTCTGCTAAAGACTTTTCTAAAAAAAAACATGCAGTACTTAACATAATTTATTTATTATATTTTATATTATA